TCAGCACTTGGGCCTGCCGAGGGTGCTGGGGGGTGGGTGAGGTGTGCTGGCTGTGACACTGCCACAGGCCTGCCTCGCTGCAGGGTGGCTCTAGCCATGCTCGCAGACCTCCTGCAGCCCCTGAGCCTGTGGGGCAGGGGCTACACGCTCCTGCTGTGCTGCCCACTCCACACTCACAGCTCAGGCAGCACCATGTGGGGTGCGATACCGAGCACTGCATATGGGGTGTACATAACTCATACAGAAATGAGACAGTGCCGCCTGATTATGGCCATCCACATTTTCCTCCAGCTGACTTGTCCTCTTCTGGGATCGACAAATTGTTAATACCGATTTGGAGACTGGGAGCTTTGTGCAATGCTTGGCTTTAGGCAGCTTGACTTGCTTCAAAATCACCCAGAGCCCTGCAAAACCCACACAGCTCAGCAACACAGCTCTTCCTGCCCTCACTCAAATGTGTCAGGCTATAAATGCCGGGAGGTACTAGGGGGTGGCAGTGGTCTGCGTCTAGCTCTGCACGACTCAACATGTCTCATCAAAATGTCTCTGTGATGCTCTTTGTGTGGTCCTTCCGCTCCAGAGCGTAGTTCCCCCTCCAGAGTTCAAGGACATTGAACAAGAAGGATTCGGAGGTGAGGTGAGGCACCAGAGTGCTGAGAAAAGTGGAGAAGAGAGTAGAGGTGAGAGGCTGCTAGAGGTTAATGTGGTGGTTTATCAATGGTGTGGCAGCCCACGCTAGGGCTGAAAGCTCTTTGGGGAGATCTTTGGTCCATCAGACCAAGATAAAGAAATCCAAAGGTTGCAATTCAATGGGAGAGGTGCAGGGAGAGGGAGGGAGGAGGGGACGGGCACTGTGGTCCTCAGCATGGGTCTGAGTGATGCACGTGGGGAGACGTGTCTCCAGGTCGAGCTCCCTGCCAGCAGCTCCACAGTGCCCTGGCCTCCCAGAGCTTCCCCCAGCCTGCATCTTTCTGCAGGGCTGTGAGGGGAAGGAGATGGGTTGGAGGATGGAGAAAATGCAAAGCTTTGATGAACCATGAAAGACAGGCTTGTGCCTTTGGGGCAGAGCATCACCCGGGAACAGAAGCCAGGGGCTCACTGACAAACCACAGGAAGTTCAGAGGGAAAAAAAGGCCCTTGCAGTGGAGTGTAAACGGTTAAGTTGAATGGCCTGGTCCAAACCAGGAGGCAGCAGCAACTAATGGGGAAAAACACGGGGTGTGAAAGGGCTCTTTGTCCCAGCAGGAAGGCAAAGGTTGCCCAGAGGCTGGGCGCTGGGGACACACCCTGATAGGAGTGCAGGGCAGGCTTGTTTGCAGTGTGGGGTGCAGGCTCCTGGAGAAGAGGTGGTTTTACACTCTTGTTCCTTTTGCAGCTAGACAAGCCCCTGCCTGGAAGGCACTTTGACCAAACAACAGAATGGCTCAGCTGATGTGCTGCAGCAGACTCAAGGAGGAGCTCCAGCCCTTGCACAGGGCCACCTCGATGGCCCACGACAGCCATGTACCATCCTTCCATCCAGCGCATCCGGGGTGGGAGGCTGCAGCTCATAGCAGATCTTGCACCCTGGGAGGACAACCAGAAAATGAGCACCCCATGCAAGGGGAGCACTTTTCCATGTAGGAGAAGGCCTCAGAGCCACAAACCAGAGGTGCCGGAGCAATGGGAGGGCAGGAGGCCAGCAGCACCTGGGCAGGAAAAAGATGCAATCTCACCACCCTCCTTTCCTGAGCTGAGAGGCGAAGCAAATAAAGGAAAGCAGATAACGAAAGCTATTCGTGCTGGCTGCTTGCTGGGGTGATGGCCCAGCTCAGCAAGGGGTCAGCATGAATTATGTTTCCTGGCAGCATGAGGCTGTGCTTGTAGAGGGATATCCGCTGGGTAGTGTGGGACAACAGCATTGGCGCACATCACGGAGTGGCCCAAAGTGGAGGGCACGACTAGATCATGACTTTGGGCATCCCCAGGAAATCCAGCCTGTTTTGGTGACAGTAGTGAGACGCATCCTGCTGCTCTTCTCTTTGTGTTGGAGAAAATAGAGCAAGCCAGGAGGAAACTTCCTGAAAGCTTTGGGAAGTGGTTGCCTACTGCATTGATAATTTCTAGTTTATACAGCTGTCCCTCAGGCAGGCATTCAGTGACTGGTAATAGAAAATGCAGTTAGTACACAGGGTAAGCAGCTAACCCCAGACCTGGAGAAGATCCTGATAACTAATAATGTGTGCCTGCATGGTCACACTGCTTGTATGTGTCCTCAGATAGCATCATGAACATGAGCCATGAAACAGACTCCATGGACAGGTCAAAGACCATGTGACTTTCCCAAATGCCAGGCAGGTAACATGCTGACTGTGGCAGGGGACATGCCAGTGACACTTAGCACTGTGTGCTTAAATAGGATGGTGAGTTTGGACTGCGCTTGAGATGTGGAGGTTTCCTGTGCATCCCCAGGAAGCGATGAAGACAAGGGAATGCAGCCCAGTCCATGTGTGTTATCGTTCCCAGCCCCTCCACAACCCCAGAGGACATCCTTACGCCGGCCACACCCACCCTGGACCCAAGCCCCTGCAGAGCCTCCTTGCACGAACAGGGCAGGGAGACCCCCAGTGTGTCTCCCAGTGCCTGTGCCCACCTGGAAGGATCAAACGCACTCATCCATCTTGTCAAACTGCTTTAATATTTGGACATGAAGACAGGACAGAGCCAGTCAGGCTGTGCACAGACAAAATAGCCCCAAGCCATGGTATAAGGCTGCAGGGCTTCCCTTCTCAATGGATGTGTGGATTTGGCCAAGACGCAGTTCAGCTGATGACGTCCCGAGCGTGCCAGTGGGGTGCATGTGTGGGGTAGGGAAGAGGGATGGGGGGTCCCCAGGGCAGCTCAGAGGTTGTTCAGCTCCAACAAGGTCTGGTCCAGGACCTGGTGGATGCCCACGTTCTCCTCTTTGGCACTGGCCAGACTCTCTGTGGATACAAGGGACACCCAGGCACGCACACAGACACAGCCCAATTGTACCCAGGCGCAGCCGGACCCACGCACACCACACCAAGCACAGACACGCACACAGACAGACATTTCAGTATGGTCACAGCCTCCATTTGAGCAGGGTGACCCTGTCGAGCGGAGTCCATGCAAGCAGCCCCATCACCAGCAGGGATAAGCCCAGCCACCCCAGGACTTTCCGGGCCAGCCAGGCTGGTCACTGGGGGCAGGCAGTCCCCGCTCTTCAGCATTTCCATCCTCCTATGGTGCCCTGTTGCCCATGGCTGGGCTCTCCACAGCACAGGTACTGCTGGCAGGTACTGTGCTTTGGCTGATCACCAGCATGTCCTGCCCTGGGGCATCATGACCGTCTGGCTGCTGGCACGTGCACAAATCCTTGGCCAGTGAAAGAGGAGAGCCAGTGCCTACTGCATGACCCAGCGGTGGTCCATGAAGAAAACGAGTGAAACAGCAGCCCAGGGGGACAGGCAAAGAGGACAGCAGAGAGAGAAGGAGCAGAGCTAAGAGAGGCTGCAGGGATGAGCTCTGCCAGGCAGCCTGCTGCCAAGGCAGCCTCCTGTGGTGTTCACTTCCAAATAGCATCCTCCCCTCCAGAGACAGGGATGGGATGAGAGCTCTGCTCACCCAGCCCCATCTCCCAGCACTTCCTGCTGGGCTCTTCCCTGTCCCATGCCTCAAGTTTGGGGCAGCAGGTGCTGCCGGGTCCCCAGCTCCCATCCCAGCCCTCCCAGCACCCTGCAGGAACCCCGCTCTGAGGGAATCCTTCCTGCACAGTTTGGGGTGACCAGAGTGAGGAGGAAGAGGCTGGCCACCGACTCCTGGGACAAGGGGAGGAAGGCAGTGATACAAACCACTGCATCCCTCCCCAGCAGGGCCAGGCTGATGCTGAGGGACAGCCGTCACAGCGTGAGTGTCCTGGGATATTGCAAAAACCCGCATTCCTCTCCCCCAAAAAACCGACCAGCTCCAGAGGGGTTCACTGTCCCCCACGAGCATGGTGGTTATCCCCAGGGGGATAAGCCAAGGCTCCACACCCCACCTAGCCCTGGTGGGGAGTGGGTAGAGTAGGAGGCCCCAGGCCCAAAGCCGGCCTGGCCAAAATGGGGCAGGTAGGCTGGGCTGGGGCCGGGAGCTCTGGGCAGCTCAGTTGTTAAGTTCGGTAAGGATGACCCGCAGCTCGTTAGTGAGAACGCGGTTTTTCTCGGCCTCCTGCCGGGAGCGCTCTAGAGAAAACGGAGACACCAGTGCAGCAGAGGGAAAAAAGAGAGAGAAAGGCGAATTAGTGAAAAGAGACAGTGTTCCCCAAAGCCCTCTCTGGAAATCCTGCACCTGCCCAGCCAGCTTGAGCTGGACTGGCAGGAGGAGGCAGCTGGTCCCAGGGCAGGGATGGGGCTGTGAGTCTATCAATTTGGGAACTGGGTTCTGGGGCAGAGTAGGATGTTGAGGAAGGAGGATGGGGAGGATCAGGGACCCATTTAGGGATTGCTGTTGAAAGGTAGGGTCAGCCCCTTCATCAAGGGAGGCCGATGCAGGAGAGATACCAGGGCTGAGGGTGCTGCTTGCAGGCAGTGTCTGGGAGTGGGGATGGGGAATGGACAGGACCAGGTCTAACCTGCTATTTCAGGCCAAGAGAGTCATGGAGGAGATGGCACAAGATGAGGAAAGCTGTGTACAAGAGCCGGGGAGTGGCAGGGGTCATCCCACAGGCCGAGGCACAAAGGGCCCCGTTCTGCTCAGCCTGGCAGTGTTTTTCGCTCGGGGCTCAGCCACAGCCATCCTGGGGGTCCCGCGGCTCCGAACTGCCTGCAACCACCTCCTACCACCCCGCTACCAGCACCCATGTCAGACAGGCAGGAGATGAGGGAGAGAGTGGCATGAAGAAAAAAAAGGAGTAACCAAGGAAAGAAAATGCTTTATTGATACCAACTCAGTAACCCAGAAGGACAGAACATAAAAGAAAAGTCATGAAATGCCAACTGAAGAGTGATGTGCAAAGGACAGAAGGGAGGTAGGGACAAGGGAGGAGCTGGGGGTCTGAGGGCTGCCTGCCTGCCTGGGAAAGGGCTGCCTGCACAGCCAGACCCAACCTTCCATCCCCCAGGCCTGAGCTTTAGCGGTGGAGGTGCCACATCCCCTGTGCGGGTCCTCCCCATCCTGGGTGCAGCAAGCAGCACCAAGGGGTTTGTCTGGGGGGGATGTGGGGGGCAGGTAGCCCCACCGACCCTGGAGCTGCAGTGTGCCCAGTGCTGGGGAGATGAGGAGGGAGCTGCTGGAGTGCAGGGCTCTTGGGCACAGCCCTGTTCCCCACTGGACAATTCTAGGGCATGGACCTGCAACCACATGAGCATGGTCCACCCAGCGTGTGGGGGTCTCAGGATTCCTGCCTTGCCCTGCCAAACACCACTAAGCACCTACACCTTGTCTCCCCACCAACAGGGGTATTGCAGGAACACCCTGGGCCAGCTCCTGTCCCAAAGGGGCCAACAGACAGGTACGGGCTAGGAAGGACAGAAGATGAGAGAGCAGGCAGGGAGAGGGATGGGATGGCCAGGCAGGCAAGCAGCCGAGCTGGGGAGGGGAGAGGCAGGCAGGGAGGAGTGCAGTGCTGGTGCCCAGTGAGGGGCTCAGAGGGAGGTGATGTCATTAAGTGCATTATCCAGCTCTTCGCTGATGGCTTTGTACTTCATCTTCTGCGCATACACTTCATCTGCAGGTGAGGGGTGGGCAGGGGGCAGACGGTGGAGCAGGGCAGGGAGCGGGCAGTGGAGAGAGAGAGAGTGGCTATGAGCAGGGGCCAAGGGCAGCGAGACTGTGCAGGCACAGGCGGCATGGATGCAGCCCTATTCCCCACCCAAGGGCAGAGCCCAGACCGTAGGAGCTCTGCACTCCCACACCAGACACCACAGCATCCAGCCATCCAGCTTCCCCCCTCCCAGGACCCCTGCCCACCCCCTCATCCTGGCCAAGCCCTGTCCAGCCCCACTGGGGGCAAGTTGTGGCCAGTGCTCCCCAGGAAAGAGGGACACGGGGCCAGCAGGGACATTTTACCTTCTAGATCATCAATGGTTTTCTCCAGCTTCGCCACAGACCTCTCTGCAAACTCTGCCCGGGTCTCAGCCTGCAGAAGCACAGTGGGTATAGGGTGAGAAGTGGGGCACGAGGACAGTGCCAGCTGTGGTGCTTACTTGCCAGCTGGGGTTAAACCATGACAACTGCACCCCAAATCTGCCCTGTCTGTATCTCTGGTACCCTTCTCCACGAGCCCTCCCCAGGGAAAGGCAAAGGACAAGGGCCCCATGGACCCCCACACCCTAAACCAGAGCAGGCTGACGGTGGGGCATCCCAGACCCAGGCACCTGCCATGCTGCAGGGCTGCAATTTGGGGAACAGTGAGAGGACAGGGGCATAACGGAGTCAAAACCCACATGGGATGGCAAACTCATGCTTGCACCAATGCAGTACTGGCCCCGCACCCCTTACCTCCTTCAGTTTTTCCCCTAGAAGCTTGATTTCCTCCTCATACTTGTCCTCCTTGGTAGAATACTGCAGAGACAGAGACAGGCACCTGTGAGCCCCATGGGACACCTCCAGCCGTACTTCATCCCAGCAGGAGACCCCAGACCCCCCAGACGCCACACACTCTGCCCAGCCCCAGCAGCCCAACTGGGTCCTACCTTGTCAGCCTGGGCCTCCAGGGACTTCAAGTTGTTGGTGACAATTTTCAGCTCCTCCTCTAGGTCACCACATTTACTACATCCCAAGCAGGGGCAGCCAGGAGGGGGAGCAGGACCAGGGGGCAGGAGAGAGGAGGGAGCAGAAAGAGTGGGCATGGGGAAGGAGGAAAGAGAGAGAGAAAACAAGTTGAGAGAGGAGAAAACTCAGTGCAGGTGGAGAAGGATAAGAGCCGCTGCGAGCAGGAGCTGCTGGGGCGCATCTGTTCATCCGTTCCTTGTGCTTCCTTGCACGGACACCCCGTGCATCACTGCCGGCCAGGCTCCTGCCGGCCTCACCGAGAAGGACAGCAGGCATGGAGGGATGGAGGAGCGTGCCCAGCCTGCACCCACTGGAGGGGAAGGCGAGAGGAGGTCGGTGGTGGAGGCAGCGGTGCAGAGAGGAGAGAGGTGGCTCGCATGGTTTGAGAGACAGCGACAGAGAGAGGGGGGCTGCTGCGCATCGCCCCATGCCCCTGCCCCAGTACCTCTTCCTCTGAGGCAATGAGGGATTTGAGAGTCTGGTCCATGGTCCGCAGCTCTTCTTCCAACTGTCTCACTCGGCTGGGGTGAAAGAGGGGCACCCCGTGGGGGGGACAGTAGAGAACAGGGTCAAAGATGTGCCGCTGCTGGGCTGGCATCCCTCTGTACCCAGCCTGCAAACCCAGGGACCACCCCAATGGCAGACCGTGCTGCTCCCATGGGAGGGACATCCCCATCCCCATGCAGACATCCTCGTCCCCATCACCGCCAGAGATTTGGGGCAAGGACTGCATGAGACCCCCTCTGTGTTGCCTGCCAGGAGCCCTGCTCACCTCTCTGCCACCTCTGCCCTCTCTTCTGAGCGCTCCAGCTCTCCCTCAAGGACGACCAGCTTGCGGGCGACCTGTTGACGGCAGCAAGAGGCACATGTTGGCCTCGCGCTTGCCCCAGTTTTGGGCACAGGGCTGTGCGGAGACAGCTCCAGCTCCTGCCAGGGGGTCAGGACTGGGAGAAGGGGGCACACACCTCCTCGTATTTGCGGTCAGCCTCTTCTGCTATGTGCTTTGCCTCCTTCAGCTGCATTTCCTGGAGCTCCATCTTCTCCTCATCTTTCATGGCCCTGTTTTCGATGACCTTCATGCCTCTGAGGAAAGCCCAAGCCAGAAGATGTTACTGTTGTGGGTCGAGGTAGCACCTGCACCTCCTGCCTGCCCACTGCGAAACCAAGGGGGCTGCCTGCAATCAATGGTGACCCAATGCCACTCCCGTTGTCCCTTCCCATCGCACCTCTCACTCTCATCAGCTGCCTTCTCAGCCTCCTCCAGCTTCTGCAGGGCGGTGGCCAGGCGCTCCTGGGCTCGGTCCAGCTCCTCTTTTGCGGCTGTGCAAAAAAGCCACTTCAGCCTCAGCCTGGGGGAGCAGAAACCCTTCAATCACCTCATGTCTCATATTTTTTTTTTTTTTAAAAAAGGCATTTTCAGTGGTTACTTCTGCATTTTCTATCCAGAACACCCCATGGCACTGTGCAACAAGCCAGAGCTCACTGGAATGGGATGCCCGACTGTGCATCCCCTCACTTTCCTACAGGGACAATGGAGTTTTCTCCATCCCTAGCACTGTCGCAGCCACGCAACCCCCACCAGGCATGTGCAGCCCCTCCACCACGTCCTCACACCTTCGGCTCCTGCCCTGGAGAGGGATGAGGTGCGTTCACTGGGGTAGGGTGGCTGTAGCAGCCGTGCCGTCACAGGGATGGTATTTGGGGTTTGCAGAGCAGTGAGTAAAAGGGGAGGAATGCCCTCCGTGGCTCCACTCCCGAAAAGGAGATGGGAGCTGCTTGTGAATTTCCTGTTTATGGAGGCGGCAGAGCGAGCTGGGAGCCTCTCCTGCAGTAAGCCCCCCGGCCCTGTGCAATGGGGCAGCCTGAAGCCAAGCACAGCACCACCACCCCCCTCCCCCAGCTGATATACAGCACAGCACTGGGGGCAATGGAGCAAGTCACCCTCGGTGGGCT